GCTGGTCTCTGTAGCCTCGCCGTCAAGCGCTCTGCAGCGCTATGTCTATCCGCCCGAGACGACGTCCGACCGGCCCTGGGACTTTTTGCAAACGCGTAACCCATTCAGCCCGGAGACCCGAGTCCAACTCAACTGGCGGTATCGGCATGGACCTGTTGGGCTGTCTGAGGTTACGGAGCAATACCACCCGAAGCTAGCCTCACGGAGGAGGGCCGCGAGCAGCAGCATGCCGTGGGAGGCCACGAAGCGAGTCGGGCCGAAGAGAGGCCCATGCGAGTCGCCGGACGTTGGGACGGCGAGGAGCCTTTACGCGTTGGTGAGAGGATAGCGGTTGAAGTCCGCCCAGACAAGCAAGATGGCGTGAAAGCGCCCCAGGGGGAAGATGCCGAATGCTTCCCTGGGAGATGAGCCGGTGTTAGGCTGCGACGGGGTGAGTGGAGTCAAGTCTACTGCTTGCTGCCGCGTAGCGAGTGCCTGAGGGGCTGACCGGCCCCGCGAGTACCGTGGGTTTCAGAGAATCCGGCGTGAACTGGTGCCACCGGCCGCATGCCAGTAGGGAGCCCGACTGATGACGGAGAGAGTGACTGTCGGAGGCGCAGTTGACGACGACGACGTCAACTGCGGAGTACGCGGGGAGTGGCTGTCGAGGCTGTCGGACCGCAATGCCCGCCGGTGAGTTAGCCACGAAGAGAGTGGGCCAAGCGACGGTACGACAGAGTAAGTCGGTAGCTGGTTGCACCCGTCGTAATGACTGGGCGTAGAAGCGGAAGACGGAGGGCCGTAGTCGCTGGCGGGATGCCATGCGAGCTTTGAGTGCATGAAGGAAGTAAGCCCCAGCCCAGCTGGCGGGTTGAGGGACTTTTTACGAACTCGTAACCCATGGCCCGCAGGCCCGAAAACAGCTCACTGCTGTTTTCGTCTCACCCACTGAGACACCGGACCCACCGGACATAATTTTGTGAAGGGAGCGGATTGTCACGTACCACACGAGGGGATCCGTCCTCGCGCAGGCGAGGCAGAACAGTCGGAAGAGGTTGTGGGCGCGTAAGGATTTAGTAACTCGTGGGTGTCGCGCGTGCATGCCAGGTTCTCTTTTCTGTCAACGTCTGTCGTCCTTGGGAGACCGCACATGCCTGCGGTCTCCAAGGACGACCGACGTTTATTTTGCAGTAGCGCCTATTTTTGATGATGTCGGATCAGGACCAGATCGAGATTCAGGACAAGATCGAGATTCAGGGCCAGACCCGTAAGGGGGCGGATTGGTTGTCAGCAAGAAAATAATAATGGAGAGATGAAGGCGCCTGTTTGCCAAGCGTATTACGCACAGGGGTTTGACGAGGCCGTGTGTCACACGCATTGTTGGCGCACGGCCGAGAACTGTGCGGATTATGTGCTTCCGTTAATGAAGCCTTGGTTCAAAGTGCTGGATGTCGGCTTTGGACCGGGTACGATAACGTGCGGCTTGGCGGCGTACGTTCCAGAGGGGTCGGTTGTAGGTATTGAGCCCATGGATGAGTTGATTAGTATAGCGGAGACGAATAAGACGAAGATGGGTGTGAAGAATGTGGAGTTTTTGAAGGGATCGTGCTACAGCATTTGTTTCGATGATAATACGTTCGATTTGGTCCACGCTCACCAAGTTCTATTACACCTGGAAGATCCCGTCCTTGCATTGAAAGAAATGTTGAGGGTTGTTAAACCTGATGGATACGTGTGTGTGAGAGAAGCGGACCTTGACATGATCACCATCTACCCGGAAGCTGCCCCGCTCAAGTTCTTTTTCACTCACTGGCGGTGCCACTCTAAGACTCAGATGGGCCGACAGCTAAAGAAATTGGCCATGGACGCAGGCTTTACCAAGATTGATGGCTCTATATCCCAGTTATTTGTATCGAGCGATACTGAGAGAGCGTGGTTCTACGATTTGTACACCAACAGGGTCAAAGATTCCAAAGAAGCGGCTGCAGCACACACGATTGCTGTTACAGAAGATGGAACACAATATAATAGCACACACGATTGCAAGCTCAAGGAAGACACAGAACGAATGAAACAGAAAGTCATTACATGCCTCGAGGAATTCAAGAGCAATAAGGCCGCCTGGGCCGCTCTTCCAAACTGGCAAATCGTTTGTCAAAAATCGTGATCTTTTTGTAACAGTGCTTAGAAATCAATTTTTTCGTTATCTTGTGTTCAAAAGGAGGATTTCGAATTCCGTAGAACGAGGTAAAGAACACAGGTTC